GCCAAATTTCTCGTAGTTTTTTGTTAAGCTTTTCATGAACATTTTGAATTATCATCCACGCCCGCATATTTGACCTGCTGTCGGGTAGTAAGTAGAACTCCTTGTAGAAACTTTATCAAAGTCACGCAACCGCTAACCTTCTCGCAAGAGAAAACCCAACTGTGGAATTCCTTACCGACATCTTCCAACGATGTTGCATTGGGTATAACTACCACATAATCAGTAAATTCTCCTCAGCCCATGTCACGACCCAAACCGATGGGCCGCGACGGGCACCTAGTACCTTACTTAACCGAATACCAACTTAACATATCTTTAGTATCATACTATTATAGGTAATTGAGCCGGAGAGGCTGTCGTGAGATAAGTAGAATAAAACATGAGGAAATACTCAATATAGGGTGGCCCAACTTGATATACTGACTTATACATACGACGTACTGGCCTATAAGGCCATACCATTATCCGTATACATGACATCTGTCTACAAACCTCTAAGAGTACATAAATATCATAAATGTCGGGACAGATCCCCGCCATACCAAACAATACATATTCAAATTATACTGACCAAATAGGCAACTCTGAAGCAAGTGGAGTGCAAAACACCTTCTGCTGAGCTGATAGCCTACTAAGAGAACTCTCAACCTGTCTATCGGGACCTGCAGGCATGAAACGCAGCGTCCCCAGGCAAAAGGGACGTCAGTACGAATAATGTACTGAGTATGTAAGGCATGAAAATCAGTATATAAAAGACATAACTGAAACATAGAGTTCAAAATTTCACCTGTGAGCCTAAATAACTTTGTGAATCCTGAAACATTTATAATGTCATGCACGTGCGTGTAAATGTCGTATCATGCATAGGTATAGGTGTACATAACATCATCAAGCCTCTGAGGGCATCCCATCATATCATCTCGGCCACTGTGGGCAAATCATCAACGTATACCAGCTGATCAGGTGGTGGTGCGTATATAACGTCTTAACCTTTTCTCATATCCCATATATATATATATATAATATACGCGTATATAACGCCTTCTGGTCATGGGTCAATGTACATGTATAAATGCATGAAATACATAAGAAATACGTTAATAAGATTTTTCGAATATCATAAAATCAATATGCCTTTCGAACAAACTTTATCAAGTACGTATTTTTTTTAGACCCATGAATAGAGGATATAATAATAATTCACATGGGGAATCAAGAATATAGATATCTCTAGTATTTCTATGAATAGAGTCATTTATGAAAGTTGCGTATTTGCTCGTTTTTGTATCGTACGGATCTTGCCAAAGGAAAAGGAGGGATAGCCTTAACATACCAGTATAATCTCTTCCTTATTACTCAACCAATCTCAACATAACTTCTTTCATCTACAACAAGTGAAATGATATTGTGGTTAACATATAATGTCATACCATCGTATTTGGCTAGTCGTATGGCTTAAGAAAAATCGGACAACAACTTCGCTATTTTTAATACATCCCAAATACCACTAAGGGTAATCAACAATCCAACAACAACTATAACCAACAATAGCAACAACAATAATATAATCCAATATGAGTTTCTCTGATTATCTTAACAACCAAATTGAGCGGCAAGCTCGTTTTTATTCACAACAAGATATAAATTGAATACAAATCTTATTCCATAAATTAGTTTATAACCTTTAGAACATCATACTTATATGTACTATATTATTTCTAGTTCAAAACATCCACAAAATGCCTTCCAAATCAGCCCCATACGTCTAGTACCTTAATTTTTATCGTCAATCACTTATTTTTCATCTTTTCTTCTTCAATAAACTTAATTAACACCTAGAAAAGCTTAACAACAGAAGCCACAACATTATTAAATTATTTCTTATAATTTTCAGCCACCACAAACCATCTATTTAGCCACAAAACAGTCCAACCAAAGACAACTACATCCCATGTTCTTTCAAGTGCTATCTTATGGTTTCCTACTCAAACAACACAACCAACACAAGATAATTTTGATCAAATATAGCAACACGTTCCAAAATACAATACGAACTTAGTCGAAGCCTTAAACCACGTCAAACAGCATCAAAATCATGAATCGCGCATCGAATCAAACTTATAAATTTTCAAATTTTTAAATTCTATATCTTGTGCCGAAACGTATCAAATCAATCCGGAATGACTTCAAATTTCACACACGAGTCATAAATGATATAACGAAGCTATTTTAAGGCTCGAAACCCCAAACGGATATCGATAACATCAAAATTCACTTCAAACCAAACTTAAGAAATTCTTAAACCTTCAAAATGCTAACCTTCCATAATAAGTACCGAAATGCTCCGGGGTGATCCGATACTCAACCCGAACATATGCCCAAGTCTGAAATCATCATACGAACCTATTGGAACCTTCAAATCTCGATTCTGATGTCGTTTACTCAAAAGTCAAACCTTAGTTAAGTCTTCCAACTTAAAACTTCCGAAATTAGAATTTTCTTTCCAATTCAATTCCGACCATACGTACAAGTCATAATACCTTAAGTGAAGCTACTCAAGGCCTCAAACCGCTGAACGGCGCGCTAGAGTTCAAAACGACCGATCGGATCGTTACAATATATATAGAGAGAGAGTTGTATCAGTTAGCATCTAATTTAAGTCAACATAATCGAATTGTTCGCTTTCAAACTCTCCAAGATAATTTGCTTTATAAATCAATATTAAATAGATGCAAAAGAATAACATCAAATCTTGAGAATCCAGTTGAAGGAAAAGCCAACCAAAATCTAGCTAACTCGTATACATCTACTTATCACAAACTTCTACAGAAAAAAAAAAGTTTAATTAAGGAGATAAATGAATATGAATTAATCAAAAACAAAGATATTTCTTTCGTAATAATCAATGAGATAATTAGTTTGAAAACATTTTAATCAATGTTTTGCGACGACAATTTATTATGCGCTACCTTAATCACCTGAAATTTGACAATATTAAAAATAGAGCGTGTTATTACATTTAAAATTTTCTAAATTATTAAGGAGTTCTTCCTTTCGGGGATATCCGAAATTAATGTTTGACAATTTCTTTGACTTTTTATAATTTATAAGAATTTAAATACATTGAATTATTCAAATTTTAAAAGTTAATGTGATATTTTTCCTATCAATAAACTTTTCAATATAATCTTAAATTCATTATACTCCGCAATAGTCGAACTCATTACATAAAGTATTACATCCGTTTACTTTTACTTGGCATGTATACTAAAAATAGATTTTCATTTTTACTTGTCACTTTACGCATATCAATAGAAGATAATTTTTTTTTCCTGTTATATCCACAGTATTTATTATTTATTTCAAATTATTTTCTCAAATCCAATAAAATATGCATCAATTAATATGTGTATCATGGTAAATTATGTACTTCATTTATTATTTCTTAAGGAGCGTAAAAAGTCAAAACGTGCCAAGTAAAAGTGAACGGAGAGAGTAATTAATTACTCTATAGAGATCATATTTGACATGAAGTAATTAATTACATAAAGTAATTATTTATACACTGCGATAGTCGGACCCATTACATAAAGTAATTAATTACTCGTGAATCCAAATTAATCTTAATTTTATCTTCTATAATATAGTTCGAGCCATTCATGCCATTACCTTTATCAAATTGTATGCCCATGATTCCGACAGAACTCTACCCTAAAGTATAATGAAGAATAATTTTAAATTATAGTTAAAATGGAAAAGGGCAAAAAATACCCCTCAACTATGGGAAATAGAGCACATTGCCCTTATTTTGTATTTGATCTCAAAGATATCCTTATCATTAGTAGATTGGTTCATATTTGCCCCCTCAACTATGAGAAATAGAACAAGTTTGTCCTCCATTGTTGACTTTGGTCCTAAATATGCCTTTATCATGAGTGGACTAACTCATATTTGCCCCTTAAAATTAACAGACTTCCAATTCCTTATTTTTATCCATTAAAATATATTTTATTATTAAGATAGAGAGCCACCTTGCAAGACAATAATCTTAACCCCAAAAATTTATCGTAAAAAATTAATTATCATATTCTTTTTTTTTCCTATTTAGATTTTTTACTATTTTGAAATTTAACAATAATTAAACTGAAAAAGGATCAAATATACCCTTGTACTATCAAAAAATGTTTTAAAATACCCTCATTATAATATTTAGTTATCTCAACTCCTACCGTTCAGATATACCCCGAATTAGACGGATTGACACGTGCCCTCACAGGATTAAAATGACTCATCTTTTTTTACCTGATTTATTTTTCCTCTACCCATAACCCGATCCAAAGTGAACCCCTATTAAAAAACAGCCCTAAACGATTTCAACCTCATTTCACTTCTCCTCTTCATCTATAAATTTTGAGATAGTATTAAATTTTAGAAAAAAATCAAGCATTGAACATATAGAAGAACAAGTCTAATTGAAAGACATAATTAAAGACACTAATATAGCTAGGAAGACAGAACAAAGTTAGGGCCATATATAGATAGTTCTTCAGATTATTTGTCCTAAATAATGCTAAAGTGAGGAGACTAGGATGCTCTAGGCATTTAGGTGGAGTCAGAATATATCTCAACATGCTCTGGAAATGACTGTTATTCCCCCAATCCTTCCAGTCACGAGGTCAAAAACTTCAGTCTTGGGCCCACAAAATCTCAAACGCTCATCGGACATTTGATTAAACAATTTAATTCATGTCTAGATAAATTTCAAAACATATCGTTATAGACAATTTTCAAATTCATAGAACCTACATATATATTATCATTATAACCAGGACAATCAATTACATAATACAGAAGTAAGGTGTAATCACTTATATCCCGTATTTGCTCATATTTAGACCACAATCGTTTCTCAAAAATCATTTATGTAACTTGAACAATAAAATGTTAGCGCCTATCAAAATGAGCACCATGGTATGGTATATAATAAAATTCAAGGAAACTGATCAACAACACTCAACCATATTAGGATCATTACCACAAATACTGCTTCCAAGAAAATACAAAAGTGATGAATCTAAAATATCCAAGATGCTATACACTTGCATAAGATGCTTCAGTCTCTTCACAAACTGTAACTAAAAGAAGCTACAGACAAAAGTGTAGGACAATGAATTTAAAAAATCTAGGATGAAATACAGTTGCAAAAAATGCTTACATCCCAAAGATTAACAACAACAATAACAAAAAACCAGTGAGTTCCCACAATGGACTTGTATCTTAAAAAAGCTACAAATAGAAATGCAAAAGCATTCAATATTCTCAAATGGTGAAGGCTTCTCTTATGATGGAGTTCTCAACTTACACAGCCCTGCTAAAGTATGTGGATTTCTCCTTCAGTCCAACCTATCCCATATGATATCCTACCACATTGGCACCTTGGCTGCATGCTAGTGTCCTATAAAAAAATTTGACATTGTGATCAAAATAAGTCAAGAAATATGACATTAGAAAGAGTACTGTAGGTTAAACCTCCTCATTTAGTACTGTAGGTTAAACCTCCACATCTAGTGGACTTGGAGAATTTGATTATATTAAATTTACAAAAAAATTAAATTAAGAAGAAACTTTCTAAAATAGAAACATCATTTATTGACTGTAGATTTTCAAATATCTCCTGACAGTATCTATGTCACACAAACAAATATAGGAATTAAGAAGAGCACCTTCTGCTAAACCCTCTACATGTGATTACTTTTCCTCACTATGGTCAGATGCTAAGTACTCAAGCGCCACTCCCCCACATGCAACCACAACAGACCCAACCATTCCTCTACTTTCCCTACCAAACACCACAAAACACACCGGAACTACCCTTCTATCCACCCCAGATGCCCCAACAGACCTTCGTCCCATGGATCCAACAATGATCGATGATAGCAACACCACCACCACTACATGCACAAGCATCCCCATACTAACCACTCACACCACCCACCAGCCCTACCCCCATGCAATATCCACCTCCATCAGAACTCGAAGCAGAAGCGCAACTAGAAGTGACTGCAACAATGGAAGAGATACGAGAAACCAGGCCAATCCTGTATTACCTAAATGGGGACAGAACTTACACGCTCAAAGAACAGTTTTCAAAAAAAAAATGATCATCGTCTTTCCCCAGGAGTTACAAAGTTGTTCCCTCAATATACGAACCACACTAAATCCAACCATGGGAAAATATGCAATAGTCCTGATTCCAGCAATGATACCACAGCCAACAACACTACAGGAGGAGAACATGACACACTCCCCTCCGTCACCCAATAACTCATCCATGCAGATCATCATCTGGAATTGCAGAGGAGCACAGTCGCCAGACTTCAAAAGGAATTTCCGTTCCTTGTTGAACTACCACAATCCACTGTTGGTAGCACTATTGGAGACTCCCTTCAGGAACACGCCTCTCTTAAAGATGAATTTGGCTTCACCAGCCATGGGTACAGCGGGGGGGAATTGCTTTGCTATGGAAGGAGGATATTATCAAACTTGACCAAGTTGCAGTGACACAACAGGAAATTCATTCGATTGTCCAGGTACAACCAAAACCTCATACTTGGCTTTTTTCAGTTATCTATGCCAAAAATGACCTACCATCTCGAAATATTTTATGGGAAAACCTAAGGCAATTACATGATACTATAAAGTTGCCTTGGCTAATT